TGCATGTCAGTTTTCTTTTCCCTTCTAGTTTGGTCTCATTCTGGCATCGAGGCTCTAGCCTCCACTGACTTGTGGAAGGAATTTTCCTTGGCTATGGAAATTAAAGGGCTCCTTCATGAGATCATCAGGCTTTAATTAGGAATCATTTCTTTTGATGACTCAAATTTGAATTGCTCTAAATGTATCTTGCATATATGATATGACTGCATGATGTATCAGTGAGGACTTAGCTGAAACACAAAAGGCCTTCTCATCTCTTCAGAGGTTTCCAGTGCAAAGTACCAGCTCAGAGATACCTATAGCCAGCTTTGGGCATCAGCTGCCCCTCTAGTCATGAACGGCACAGAAAGTCACGTTAGAAACATTGCTGACATGAGACAGCTTTGTCAGTCTTCTCAAACCAGATCCTAAATCTCTTTGTGAATGGTCCTTAAGTGATTAAAGAGTTCATGGTATTGCTGAATAGTAACACCAATAGACTTTAATAGTATTTTACATTTCACTGTAGATTTAGGGCAAGAAATTAGATACTGGTATTAGTATAACACGCCTTTGAGATGAACATAACATCTGCATGGGAATTGTGACTGGATTTCCACCGGTGATCCTATATAATTTAGTTTGACAGACTTATTTTCTATTAAGACTTTTCTAAATCTTGACAAAATGGATAATGATGATTTTCAATAGCAAAAGAAACATTTGGTTTAGCAGATACCATCTGAACAGACAGCTCAGTAATATCTTCAGTTCCATGACTTTTCAGTGCCCTCTGTATATTTGTATATTATTATACTTGTACCTGTAATGTTGGTTATAAATTATGATATTTGTAGCTGTAATGTTGGTTATACGGTTTCTTCCTTCCGCAGTGTGCAAATCTTATTTGTGAATTAGAAAAATGTTAGAACTGTTGGTCAGATGCCTGAACACTTTCAGGCATTGGATACTGATTCTGATGTTAAGTTCCAGATGAAGATCTGCTGAAAATAAACATCCCTGACAAATCTTAGAGGCTTTGATGAGCATGTTAGGTCAGGATGAGTGGCTTCTGAGCTTGCCTGCTTTGATGCTGAAAGCACTTTTCAATGTGGGAAGTTCATTGAGAGGGAGTGCAGTACTGACCTAAGCTTGAGTGTATGTGGTTGTTCTCTGACAAGAATGAATAAAACATGTAACCAATCTTAGCTTTTTCGTAGTTATGGTATTGTATCCGTCAGTAGATAAGCTAAATTAGCTTGTTGGTGTTAAACATGCCGTCAGATCATAGCTGTTATTTTTAGTTCTCTTTTATCTCTCAAAGTTGAGCATCCACTTGCTATTCATGTGCGTGGATTTCCCTTGATTAGAGGTTAGGAGTCGTTTACTGAGGAGGAAAATTCTAAATGCATTTTGTTTCATGGAAGATCGTGCTGTTTGCGTGATGCAGAAGTATGTGAAAAAAAGCATGGAAAAAAGGAAAACTTTTCCTCCTCCAAAAGGGATGATGTGTGTGTCCAGACTCAGAGTGCTAAGGCATTTGTTTCTGCGACTTGCTGTCTCTGTCTCACTGGAAAAAGAACAGTGATTCTCTAGCCATTGTATTAGTCAGATTGGGATTTAGTGTGCTAAACTTCCACTGGCTTCAATGAGGACAAGGCTTATATCCATATGCATGCAAATGCAGCATGTGTGCCTGTAAGAGGAGGGGGCCATTGATCAGCCCTTGTTGCCTGCGGGGGTTTTGCGCCAGGTGAGCACACCAACAATCTTCTTGGTTACTGTTGCATTTTTAAAAGATAACATTAGTTGATGCACATTATATTTTCAAACTTCAATCTGTTTAGAAAATACCAGTGGTGCCAGCTGTGAGATGTGACTTTGATTTCCAGACTTTCAATTCCCAAACTGAAAGGAAGCAAGAAGTCCCCACAGGGGCAACTGGAAGTGTGTGGCAGGCCTGGGAATGGAATCTCTTCAAGTAGGTGTTGCCTGCTACAACAGATAGTCCGTTTGGTGTGTTCAGATTGGTGTCTTTAAAAGGTCAGCAGTATTCCTAAACTATTTAAAATTGAGTGTGTGTACATACAGGATTATGAGGTCTTAAAACACAGATATGTAGCACAGGCAGACTCAGGAACTAAAAAGCACTGAAATATCGTATACCACATCACACAAATGCATTCAGAGCTCTAGTTTATTAGGAGTGAATCTTTATACTGTAAGTATATCACTTTAGTAAGCCATACTCTGCTTTGATACAGGCAGCACTAAAGATAAGAAAGTACATACCCTAATAAGGAGAAACTACACTGGACTTTTAGAGCAGCTCGAGATAGTTTGGAATGTGCTTAATTGAATAAATGTAAAAGAGTTGCTTTGTTCTTTTATGTTGTTTTATAATAAATTCTTTCAAAGTAAATTCTTTCCAGTCAAGGATGATAAGGAGTTATGGCAATGTTGGCATTATCATCACTTCAGCAAGCAGTTCTCCCCAGTTCCCTCCTCTTGTGGGAACAGTGCAAGGATGACAGTGGTGCTGTGTCCCCAAAATGCTCAGTCCTCAAAGAAGAGTCTGAGGTTTTTTTGGTTGTTTGCTTCCATTTCATAACGTATAACATTAAACTCTGTAGTGTCAGGACCACCTTGTTTAAAAAAAAATGTTTTCTGTGTGGCCATTGGCATTGGTTTTGCTTTTCTGGTTTTCTGTAATTTTTTTTTCTATTAAATCTCTGACATATTTTCCACAACTCAGTGTGTTTGTGCTGTCACTGTGCTTTATCCATTCCATTTGTTTTAACTACTGTCCAGAAGAAAATATTTGTTACAGTGATTGCTTCTTGTTGTTCTTATTTACTTTTCCTCTCTTGATCTCCAAATGAAGAAGGAATCCCATCTCTGTTGATCTTGCATATTCTGTAAAATTTGAAATTAATATTTATACTTTTTTTCCTGTGTCTCATGTTTGATGAGCCTTTTGATGTGCAGAATTAGAGTAAGGCACTTTTTTTATGTTTAAACCTTACAGCTGTCACAGGGGAGCAGCAGTGGGTGGAATTACAGAAATTGGATTTTATAGAATGGAATTTTCTGAAATGCTCAGCTCTAGTCTTCCTCCTTCCTTTAATTGTTGGGTGAAGTGAATATGAAGTAATGAACAAAGCTGTTCTCGACACCCCTCAGAATGCAAAGTGCAGCACAGCAAGATGTAAAGCTTGTTTCTGGAGTTGACCAGTGATTTTAGCATCCCTCTGGGATCCTCAGAATTGTAGCACCTGAAAAGTGCAAACTGTACAGCGTAGACACAAAATCCTGGAAGTAGATCATGCACTTTATAGGAAGTAGTAAAATGTTTCCTAAGTCATTTTCTCAATTCAATCTCTTAGAAACATGCTGGAACCAAAGGGGATTCTGTGTTTTGGGGAGTTTTGTTAGGTGTGTGGGGCAGGGCACTGTATTGCCAGTGCTTTGGTAAAAAGCATTTGTCTCTGATGAGTGACAAAATGTTTATTTCCAACTGATTTTGCAAACATTCCGTCTCATCGAAAAGCATTCAGGTATTTTGGAAGTCTGACTTTTATTCTTGGAACTTCGCTTTGAGTAAAAAACATGGAGCTATGTGGAAGTGCAGGAGAGGGTCAGCACAGTTCCTTTGATCACCGTCTTGGAAACTTGTATCTTCATCCAATAGGAAAGGCTGAACCAAAACTGCATTGCAGTCATACCAATGCTATCCTAAGAGAGCTCACAGTGAGCAGATTGATGCTGAAGATGGGGTGCTGTTTTCTTCTGCTTGCAGTCTGCATTGCAAAGAAAGATTTAGGATTGAAGGAACAGCAGCAGAATATCAATTGGGGCAATCGTGGCAATTTCGTTTTAAAAGATTGCTTTGGACTGACTTCACAGATCTAAGATGTTGGCAAGCATTTCACATATAATTGCCTTTGTTTTGGAACCTGGGCTGGTCCAAGAGGTTGTTTGCAGGAATAGCTGTAAGATGGAGGTTGCTTTATAAGCTCATATGTGTTAAAAATTGTCTTTGAGCCTTTTAGAAGTGCTTTTCTGTTGATAAGGTAGTAGTTAATTTTAATTTTTAACCTGATGTTATTTCTTACGTAATGTGATATATTTTGAGCTAGAGAGCACTTGAATATTCTGTTTCTATTTCTGTTGTTTTATTTGTGATGTATTATCTAGGAGAGCTTTGTTTGATTTTATAGATTTGGACTGGTGAATATTAGTGTTGGAAAAAATTAGATGCTTGATATATGCTTGATCAGAACATCACTGTTCCATAGCTCTGCATCTTTTATGTGCAATAATGTGTGTGTGCACAGGGAAAACAACTTGGAGACTGGACAGCGTCAGTTTGTGTTATGTTAAAAACATCGTGTACCCTGTCTTTACTGTCATTGGTGCTTCACTGGGTTCAGTGGGACTGCTAAGTGTAACACAGTGAGAATATCTGAACTTTCAGGATAAATGACCAGGAATTAACATGAACATTTGATCTGAAAGGTGCTTTCCTTGTTATTCCTCTCAAGGCTTGTAAACAGTGATGAATAGCGTTTGATTGTGTCTAATTTGGCCATTAGCTTAGTTTAAAACAAAACAAAAAAACCACCACCCTGAAATCCATGATCAGGAAAAACACATGTGTTAACATGCAGTCCCAAAATGACAGGTGAAACATGGACCCAATAGCAGAGTCTTCCAAAGAGCAAATCCCATTTGAAGTATTGTCCTTACCAGGTACAGATATTAAAAACATAATTCTATATCCTTGGGAAGAGAATGTAAGAACAGATTTCTTGGTAAATGAAAGACATTCTCTTGCTCTCTTGCTCTGTGGCTTGTTTATTTGTTTTTTGTTTTTCCCTGTGGCAAACAGTGAGCTGGAACAGTGGGGATGGCAGGATTGGTTTGTCGGCTTGTTTGTTTTATGATCCATTTACAAAGGGTGGTTTTTGTTTTTTGGTTCTTTTTCATCTGTTCTTATATATCCTTTTTTTTTTTTTAAGTTTCAGGGACCCAGGAGGACGATGTTTTATGGATAGCAATGGCAGGCATTCATCAGGTATGGGCACTGATGTTGGAAGGTGGAAAACTTCCAAAGGGAAGGTAAGCAGTTGCAGTAGGAGACGTGTGAAACTGCTGTTTGTCTGGATAACTAGCCTTCAAACCCCAAAGAGACAGATAAATTGATTAAATTAAAGTAATTTAGCTCAACCTGTAACTTAGCTTAAAGCTTGCTACTGCTGTTCAAAGTGAAAAGGCTTGTGTCCTTTAATGGCTGTGTGCTTTTACCCACATCTGTTAGAGGAAATGAAATACACTACCTGTGCTAAAAAGCTCTATGACAGTAAGGTACAGTTGTACATTGTAATGTTACTTTTCGTTCCATTTGAATTATCTAGTGGTGAGTGATAAACCAAGTTGAATTAAAAGATAGCATAAAGCCTTTGAGTAATTCCTTATGCCGTCATAGTGGAGCTGTTTTTATAACTTACAAGTGCTCTTCCTGTATTTTGTGTTTCTGCATAACGTCTGAACTATGTCAGACTTGTTCCTGAAGATAAGTGCTATTTTTCTTCAGTGATTTAAAGAAAGGAGTCTGTCTTCGATTTGCTGGGAGTGGAAATGAAGAGAACAGAAACAATGCCTACCCTCATAAGGCCGGCTTTGCACAGCCTTCTGGACTCTCTCTGGCTTCCGAAGAGCCGTGGAACTGCCTTTTTGTAGCAGATAGTGAGAGCAGCACTGTGCGAATGATCTCTCTGAAAGATGGAGCTGTGAAGCACCTTGTAGGAGGAGAGAGAGATCCATTGGTAATCACTTCAAACTTCCCCACACTGCCCTACTAATATTTCTCAAGCCTGACCTGGAGGAACCACTTTTGGGGTGAGAGGGTAAATTAGTTTCTGTGGCCGTCAGTTTCTTAACTTCACTGCTTGGAATGCAAATGTGTGCCAGTGGTGGTGCTCAGGTTATAGTGCAGACTGTTGCTCCTCAGATACAAAATCACTTGACTTGTTTGTAAGATAGTTGAACAGAAACTGCGTTGCGTGGTCGTTAAAGCCAGCTGGATTCATACTGATAATTTAAATGTGATAATTTCCATTTCCATCATTAGCATTCTTGCTTCCTCGTTTTCAGTATCCTTTTTTTGAAGTTGTCATGATATTTTTTTTTGTCAGTGAATTTCCACTTAATTCCAACAGTTTAAATTAATACCAGCATTGAATAATCAAATAATTTCATTTGATAACATCTTCAGAATTTGTTTGCCTTTGGTGATGTGGATGGAGCAGGCATAAATGCCAAGCTGCAGCATCCCCTAGGAATAACATGGGACAAGAAAAGAAAGCTGCTATATGTGGCGGATTCCTATAATCATAAGGTAAGCATGTAGTAGCTTGACAGGTACACAATTCACAATTCTTCACGATTTTTACTACTGTAAGAGATTATTTTCAGAATGTATGAAGATTGTGCTTGGTTGAGCTGAAGAAACAAACGATAAGAGTTCTTTTGTGGGTTCTTTTCCCTTCCTTCCTTCCTTTATAAGTCCTCTTTACCCATTGTTTTGTTGCCATACGCTGCTGTGTTGATATGGTGGCGCCTTGAGGAAGGTCAGTTTTGTGCCAAGTTACCGTTCTAACTAAAGACTCATTCCTTATATCTTTCCAAAGATGGTGAACTATGGCAAAACAGCTAGGAGTGTTTATTCAGGAATACTGCAGGTTTGATAAAACTGGGAGAGCAAGAGGACTGGCTCTTTCCTCAGAAAAGCCACCCATGTTTTGAATTACCCCTTGGAATTCAGAGATGAGACATTGTTTTATATGACTGCTTTCACATGACATTGTAAGTTTTCATAAAGTTTCTAGCTGTGTGTTGATTAATTGCATTAAAGGCAAGTAATTTGTTTTACCTGAAGACTAAGGTAGGTATCAGTAGACACTCATTAAGATTTCAGGTGCAGATGCGATTTTGTTTAAAGCATTATACATGATCAACTTTTTTGCTATTACTTGAAATAAAAAAAAAACTAACTCATCCATTTTTAGAAAAACATATTTAAAAGTCTGCCTCCTAGTTTTGTTGTCTTACTGTTTTGCAAATGTTTTCACAACGGCAACAAATACTAGAAAAAAACAAGCTGTTCAGTGTATGCTTATACCAAAGGGATAGGTGCCTTAAGTGGAGAAAACTGAATGAAGTCCAGGAAGAAAGGAGGGAGATGTCTTTTGGTAAAGTATGATGACCTATCTTCTAGGACACACGCTTGTTAGCTAAGAGAAGCAAGTTTAGCACTGTCTCCTGAAGATGTGGGATATAATATAATGCAGAACGTCTGAATTCTCGTGTTTCTTTTTCAGAAAGTGGAATTTTTTTCCTGATCTTTTTTTAAATCTTAGATTAAGGTTGTAGATCCCAAAATGAAGAACTGTGCTACCCTGGCAGGCACAGGAGAAGCAAGCAATGTTGTTGGCTCCAGCTTTACACAGTCGACTTTTAATGAACCAGGAGGTTTGTGCGTTGAAGAAAATGGCCGTTTGATGTATGTTGCAGACACAAATAATCACCAGATTAAAGTGCTGGATTTGGAAACAAAAATTCTGTCCATGGCAAGTAATATTTATTAAACAGCCTGATAGTGGTGTTTCTTGGTGTGAATTACTATTCCAGGCTTTGGCAAATGGCATAAAAAACGTCTAGCTAATAAACTTGTTGGTAACTTATTCACGTAATGCTTTGTGATGATCTGACAAACAAGCATCACCTGTTAGCATCTTTGTTCAAAGTCCTCGTCCTTGGAAAGCCATCTTTTGCATGAAAACAGTGATTATCCTCTATTAAGTAATAATAATGCTGAAATACGAGCTATTAAATAGTGTAGCCCAGTTTTTCAGTATGAAAATTTTGTAAGCAACAGCAATTCCATTAATAACGAGTGGAATTAAAATCAATGACCAGGTCCTCTAATTAAGGCATAAGGTGTGGTTTGTGGAGACCATTGACTTGAGGTGCAGTACATAGTCTGTCCCAAAGATAAGATGGCAATCTGAGGTGGCATTTTTGCCAAATTTCAGCTATTCTACATTTTCTACTGCATAAACTGTTGTACAGCAGAGCAAATCTCACCCTGTGTGCTTTGTGTATTTCTGTGTAGCTTACTGTGCTATAGCTTACTTTATAGCTTACTTTTCTTACTTACCACAGTGTTTGTAACAGATCCTACTTTGTTAACACTGTTGTCTCTACTTCTGCATCTGTGTTTCTGATATATAAATATACCCCAAAATTTGCACAGTGTTGAGAAAATAAAATACAGAAACAGTAACTTGCTGCAGCTATCTGGAGAGAAAAATCAACAAACATTTCTGTAACATAACTGCTGTGGGGAGAGCAAGATTATTGTTGTCACTCTTCTGTACTTCCAAAACTACAAGTCTGTAGATCCAAATTCTTCCAAGTTTGACAAAAATGCATTCTGTGATGTCTTAATATTACTGCTATGGTGCTGAACGTCCAAACTTACTTCAAGCATGAAGTTTTAGTGTATGCTGTGCAGAATTTCATGTCTTCCTTTTTTGGGGCTTTCAAGTTGCCAAATGAAATCCACTTTCAAATCCAGCAGTGCTCGTGTGCTTGTAAGCATGAAAGCAAAACAGATTTGCACTGCTGTCCATCTTATAATGGCACCATGTTTTAATGTTCTCATAAATATATGATGTAGTTGTCCTGCTGTTTTCTTGTAAGTTTCTTGCACTTCACAGTATGCAATCTTAATGTATGTTTAAATTTTCATGCCATGTAACATCTAGGTTCATCTTCTTGGAAATTGCTGTTTACTTTGCTGTATAATCTGCAGAGTTAGATTCTTGGATTTTATTACCAAAGGATGCAGTTAGCACCCAATCAGCAGAAAGTATCTCCAGATTTTATTTAAAATAACAATGGAAGGCAAATGCTAAACATTTCAATTAAATAGTGGGTATGGTAAAACAGGTACGGATTTTGTGATTTTAATAGCAGACATTTTTCTAGGGATCAATCAGTTTCATCCTTCTAATTTAAGAAGTCATTTTGCCCTTCCTTTTCTCCACCTGTCACTGCAGTATTATTGCATCTATCAGACTCTCAGAGTGCAGTAGCTGTATTGTCATGTGTTAATTTTCCTAGTCCGTGTCAGCTGTGAAGGTGAGGCTGTGTTCTGAAAGCCTACTTGCTGTACCAATTCGAAGGAAAATTAATATTTTGATTTCTGCTGGTAGTTGCCTATCCTGAATCCAGAAACCTGCGATGTTACAGATCATCCGGCTGCACAAAAGGACCAAACTGCAAACCTTCCAAAACTGCCTAAATCTGCTCCAAACATTCAGCTTCCTTCGCTGAGCGCAGCTCCCGGTCAGACCATTCAGTTTCTATTGAAGTTGACTCTCCCTCCAGATTCAGAATTGAACGAAGAAGCACCTAATGCCTGGTTTATCACAGCAGAAGGTAAAGTGCTTACGTTGCTTTATTGGTTGAATGGGAGTAGATAAGAGAAGTAGATATTGTCTTTATGTGCATGTATATAATACGTGGGATCTCAGGCTGATGAGCCGAAACGTCCCTCCCAGTCTGCTGTATTACTTACATCGGGATGTGCTAAATGCCATTTAGAGTTGCTACATTTGAAAATCGAAGTGGGAAGAATTAAACAAAAACCAACTAAGCAAAAAAAATAAAGCACTTGGTACAGCAGAAGCCCAGAAGGTTTTTGCTTGAGTTAACGCACGCTGCGGTAATTCTTGTAAAACTTCCTTGAAACAAACAGCCAGTGAGGGCATGCAGAGGTGCTGTTCCCAGAACAATTGAGATTTTTCCTTCTCACATGCTTGCCCTCTTTACTCTCTCTGTGAATGGCTCATCTCAGCCTCACTGCCTGTCAGCTTCTTGAGAAGCTGAAACATATTCCAGAATAAAATTTCACTTTTTCCTTTCATCTCTTCCAGAAATGGAGGAACATTTGCACCTAACCGTTTTGAACTGACTTTGTTGTAATTCCTGGTTGTTTATTTGTGCCTGAGTATTTCTATAACAAGGCACACCTTATATCAGAAATGAATTTTGGTATGTCAAGGAAGCAGAAATTACTGACGTTTATTGGAGGTTCTTTCTGTGTGACTTTGGATGCAGTGTAACTTCACATCTTGGTTACTGTGAAATGGGAGTGCTGAGTCTAAATTAATCTCTCTCAATAAATATTTAAAGGAGCACATGGAACACGTTCATATTTTAATTGTACCCATCATTACCATCCTTACTCTGGACTCTGCTTTGTCCATAGTCGTGACTGGTAACTAGACTGTGTGAGCGTGTTCCCTGAAATTCCCTTTGGTACAAAAATAGTAAGGTTATCTGAAAAACCTTCTCGCAAAGGGTGACCATTAGTGAGTGCTTGGAGACAATGTTTTCCAGTGTTCCAGCTGCACTCGGAAGGGAATATCTGCCAGTGCCCTTGGAAGCACCATTCCAAAGTAAAAACTTCCATGAAGTACCATTAGAACCAAGTACCGTTTGAAAGGCAACCATATGAAACAAAATCACCTGTGGTTTTTCACATTCTTTATATGTTAACACCATTTTGCCTGGCTCTTGACTTATTCAGATACGGCTCATTTGCTTTAAGTCTGATGTGTTTAACTTATTCATCTCTCTGAAATACCTGTGTTTCTAAGCAGTATCTATAGTAGGTGTTGTGTGCTTAAGTAAGGCTGCCACCATGAGCTGGTGTTCTTGGAGTTGAAGGGATGACATTTAGTGCTCAGATGATGTGATATGAACGCATTTGTTTTTACACTCTAGAAGTCAGTGATGTACAGAGAGCTGTTACCTCTTGGAGTAAGTTATTAAAATATCCACTAAGGCATTATACAGCAGAACAAACCTTGCTAAACAGTTTAAAAGAACAAAAAGACCTAGAATAACTTTTTTTTTAGCTTCCTTGTCAAATTTTAGAAGCAATGAACAGAACATTTGTATTTCAGTTGTTTTTGCCCATTTGACTGTATTGAAAAGTCATTTTTTTCTGAAATTCTGCTGAGTTTTAGCAACTGTTCTCAGCCTGAATTTATGTGCCTTGTTGGCTTTTACAATGATGAATACATATTAATAGTCATTACAGCTTGTAGATGCAATTAAAGTGATCTGAAACTAAACATCTCATTTTGTGACTCATGGTTTTTTGGCCAGCTTTCAAAGTGTCAGACTGTCCATGTGATAGCTTAATTAAATTCATTGTTTGTAGAAGCATTCAACAAATACAGTACAGCAACCACAATCTGTGGATATACCTCATGAATTCAGGTAATTTCTCACCACAGTTTGTGCCTTTCGAGAACAAATAGAATATTTCCAGGACAGTCAGCAAACCTTTCGGCCTGCAGCACTTCTAGATATTGTCGAGGTGGGGATCTACGTCAGATTAGTGATGGAGGATCTGTGAAACTGGAGGAAGTTGAGTGACTTCACCTCAATGAGAAGTCATTGCAAGCTCGTAACTTCCAGAGCAGCTTTGATGTGTTCTCTGAAAAATGCCAGAAGCACTTCATGCGTCCCACTGCAGTCTGAAACACAGAGAACAATGCAGTGACTGCTGATTGTAGAGCTGGATGTAGAGTAGTTCACACACTTTTCAATATTTAAATCAATGTGAAACTCCAGTCGTGTTGTAACTGCCTGAACATTGGTAAATTTCAGCATGCCGCTCGTAAAGCCAGCGTTTCTGTGTGGAAATGTCATAAAGTACCTGCAGTTCTGTGCGTTCATGGTGGTTATCTTACCTGCAGAATTAGACCTCTGATGAAATCGTGTAACAGCCCACTAATTTAAGGAGTTTTGCTTATGTATCTCAGAAAAAATGTATATCTTAATATCCTCTGAAGAGTCTATAGGACAAACTGCAGATCACTGTGTTTAACAAAGGTGTACTGTACATGTACCACAATAGGAAGAGTTCCCATAGCTGTGAAGCAAAGCTCTGGATCTTTCCATCCTTAAAAAATTGTAAAGAAAGGCCATGTTGTCATGCAGGTAAAACTAGCGTTCTCTATTGCTTTCAGATATGGTGTTAAATATCCTAACGATAAAAGTTGTTCTTCTTTTGCAGGTAATAATACATGGCTGCTTCAAGGACAGTATCTGTCTGGAGACATTAAGGATGTTTCCTGTCAAACTGTCATTCCCTTTCAGCTACCAAGAGTCTGTCTATCAGCCGAAGCTGTGCTGGCTATCAAAGCGTGCCTCTACTATTGCAGTAAAGGTAGCAGTGCCTGCATGATGAAAGGAATCTCATTCAATCAGCCTTTACAGATAGGAAGTACAAACCAAGGCGGTGTGACTCAAGTTGAACTAACACATTCGTTTATAACTAACTAGTGCTTGGTAAAATGAAGTAGAGTTTCTTAGTTTAATGGGAAAATTCGTGATCAGAACCTCATTTCCTTTCATTACAGTAGCAGCAATGATGGTGTAATGCTCTAGACTCTGTTGCCAATTGTGAATATATGGGATGTGTGCCGTTCTAAGGAATGAGCAACAGGTCCTTTTGAAAGAGTTAAGACTGCTTTGTGATGTTACTGTAAGAAGTTCTTTGTGCTGGACATTGGATTACTTCAGACTAACAGTTACTGATTCCTTTTGTGCCCTTAAATTGTAAAAGAATGTCAAAACTCGAGGTTTCTTTCTTAAGGCTGCAAAAGAAGCATCTTGCTTGTTTTTCTGAACAGCATCTATGGCACGTGTGTTTTGAACATAGATCTTAAATTAAGTGTAGCTCTAGTATTATTTAAGCTGATTGTTTTTCTTAGCTCTGTCTGACTGCCTTATATGAAGAGCGCAGCTTCATGGAAAAATTCCTGTGACAGGAAGCGTTTAAGTTCCTCCAAAAAAAAATCACACTCATTTCTAACAAAGAATGTGCCTCTCTGATGTATATGTATATTTGTAAAAAAAATCATAAAACCATGCTGGAGTCTTTCTAATATGTACTGACTTACATTTTATGGTAAGTGATAAAAAACGTTTGATTATCTAAACTGCAAAAATTAAATGTCAACCATTTCAAGCAAGTGAATCACTTTCTCACTTTTAAAATTTCAATGTAAAACATTGACTGAAGACTTCTTTCTTGCAAACTTAAAATACTTAGAGTAATACTTCCTTCTTGAAGCCCAGTTCAGAGTTTTTTGAAGTCACTGTTTGTCCACACACTCATTTGTTACGGTGGCCTCTGAATCAGAGCTATGCATGTGATAATACCACGTCTAGAGGTTCTGACATTTTGCTAGAGAGCTGGTGATTTCATCTTCGAGCAAAATGCTTTGAAGCTGTGCTCCAGAACTCTGCCTTTGGTGCTTAAAAGTTCTGCAGAAAAAATTTGATCAATTTGCCATAGCGAGTACCAAGAATACAGGAGGATGTGTGAGTGTCTGACCCAAATTGGAAGGGTTTCCACAGTGCCTAAGTGGCAGCTGGGCTGGGGTCAGTGCTTTGATTATGAGGATCAGTTCTGAGATGAATTTGTTGGTAAGTTGGAAGGTAGTTATTTTTGCACATAGAATGAAGTGTGGTCGTGGAACAATTTTTATGTGGTATTTTCTAAAGCAGACATCATGGTTCCTGACTCCTGTCAGTAATTCCCCAGTGTGATTTGTTGTTGATGTTTCTTAAAAGCTGACTGACATCTTGGTCATGAACTCGAGGGACTTTTGTTCAGGGGGACCATATGGGTTGGTAAGCTTTTTCCTTCTGTTGAAGTGCCAGCCTCTCTGAGTTCTGTGTAGTAGCAGAAATGGTGATTATCTCACCACCTGTCAGCAGGGCAAGGACTGAACTGTTACTTCTCTTGTGTTTCTTTTGTTTGCTTGCTTTTTTAAAGCCACGTTTTCTATAATTCAGTCTTTCAGTCCCTTTGGGTAAGCCTCACAGTCTCATATGCCATGCTGAAGAAGGATAGAGCTTTGCTACGCTGTTCAGAGGTTGCAAATGCCTTGGAAAGATGAAGCTAAAGAAATTGCTTGGTGCATTTAACATTTCTTACATTTTATTGCAACCCCTTCAGATTTCTTTTGGTGTTTATCTAACTTTGGATGGTAACCAGGAAACCTTAGCTCAGCTTCCAGCGACATCACAGCTTTTCTGCTGCTTACTAAAAAAGCCCAAGTGTTAGTTTCAGAAGTTCAGAATAACAGATCAAACTCTTAAAGTTACCTTGAGAATGTAACTCAGCAGATAGACCAATATAAAATAATTTTAATTGGAAATCAGAGAAAAAGAATGTCTTTCAGTTGAAAAGGATCATAAAATTCTGCCTTCTATTCTCAAACTCAGGAAAAAAAGCTGCACAAATGCAATCTAAATCACATTTTTTTTAATTAAAATATTACTATAGGGAAAGGCCATGTATTCTTAACTCTATTTAGGTTCAGTGTGTAATGTTGAAATACAGTATTGCAGATATGTTTTCTATTCAAACATGTATCTATCAAGTTGTGCATAAGGGTCTTATGTTTTTTGTTTTTGGGATTCCCCTTGTAGTTACTGTACGTAGTGGGCACATTCAGAACCACTGTAAACTTAATGGAAGTGAGTGGTAGTAGATACTGGGAAAGCTGTTGCATAGGATCCAGCTAACATCCAGGCTCAGAGTTCAAAGGACCTTTAAATATTTAGTCATAGCCCAATTTGAAGTAATTGTATTTCAAGGAAAACAGTAGGAATATGTGATTGATTATTTTATTGCTCTTTTAAGTCGATGTCTTGCAGCAGTTGAGTGGATCCTATGTAAACAAGGAGTGTATCCAACACAAACTGGGGACATACCAAATTCCTGCCATTGTTAGTACATTCCCTGTTACTGCAGTGTAATGGCTGTGCTAAAAGAGGCAGAAGGTGTGTGAGACCATCTCAAAAATACATCTTGTTATTTAAAGAAAAGGTGGATGTCACAAAACGCTTTCCCCACCTGTGTCATGTAAGTCCTAGCCCCCTTCAGAATAAAAGGGAGACCTTCTTACCCTGATGCCTTCATGGCTATCACACAGGGACACTGCTATAATAATTCTCCTTTGTTGTCTTAGGAGCAGCTGATTATCAGCATGCTCCAGCTCTCCCTGATGAAGTTACTGGGGTTGTTCTGATCCTCCTCACTCTGCGTGTTCACTATGACTGGCATCTATTGCATTAAGCCTGACACTGTTTTGTTTGTCCAGGAAATAGCATACAAACTCACCGAGTCCCTACTTATGTTTCACTCACAGCATCAGCTGAACAGACATTTGAACACTCTATAATTAGCATAACACGCTTTTTAAGAGCTTATGTTGTTTACTTTTATCCTGCAAAAGGGATGCTGTTTCCATTGCTTTCTCCAGGATACAGGGTGCTGTTACACTAAAGCAACAAGTGCTATGGATGTTACCAGACAGGGAAACAGTAGCTTGTACAAGCAGCAGAAATTTCAGTTCAGTTACCAGAAAGCATCCTTAAAATATTATTCTAAAAAATAGGATATTTGATTTCTGTCTCTAAATACTGAAAAATCAGATGGCTGCTATCTCTTTGTATGGCAATTTAGCTTGTAGTATTTCCTGATGTAAAAACTGTAAATTACCAGTAGTTTGGTATGGCTCAGCACTCCCAGATTTTGAACTTCAAGTGACAGTATGTAATTCAGAGCCTCTTCACGTTGTGTTTTCTCACTGACTTTAATAGGTTTTGCATCAGACCTTAATAAATTTGTAAATTACTGTAGCAAATCTCTAAAGAATATTGGTCATGCTTGCATTCTACAATAGAAGCAAGTTCTGAGGCTTTTGCAGTTTTTAGTTCTAGGGTTTGCTTTCCTAGAACAGCTTTTGTTTGTGGATGAATATGTTAAAAGTTCCAGGAGATGTTTGAATTTAATTACATTTTTAATTTCACTAGGAGAAAGAGAATGTCATTTCAAAGAAGGAGAGTAATGTCTTCTCGTAGCTTTTCACATTGTTTGAATTCAGTAACATCTCTCTGTAGTTTGTTCCCCTCCATTGAAAGAAGGGGAGGAATGCTGACTGCCTAAGCCTGGCATTGATGGACATGCATTTTATGTTCATTCTTTTTTATATTAGATTCTCTTATGCCTTTTTGGGTTTTTCTATTGGTGCACCTCTTCATAGTTCACATTTTGCCTCCCTCATGTCTTCCACTTGCAGGGCATTGTGCTCATGTAATGCTGTGGTAATGTGATACAAAGCAAATCCAGACCAGCTGAGTAATACATCAGAGAGTAGTTTGCAGTGTCATGTGAATGCCTGATCTGCTCAGCTGAGAAAAGGTGCATGTTTATGTATTCTTAATCCACTTGTTTTATTCCAGTGAACAAATCTTGTCATTCAAACTATGGAAAAACTACGTTTTGTGAGAGCATCAAGAAATAACTTGTTCCTAATCTCTTGCTTCCAGGAGGGAGATGATCAGAATGAAGTGACAGGGGCATGCCTTTCTGCTCCTTCAATTATTGCCTATTAATTTAGTAAAGAGTGTTGTACTCTTGGCCACAGTTTCAGATTGTCTTGAATTTTCGATCCTAACAAGGTTTCCTACATACGTGAAAGCTTAAATGTTTGACTTTGCAGAGTAATTAATCATATAACTAGTTTTAAATGGCTTACACTTCAGCAGAAAACAGCAGAGATTTATATGCATTCGTTTGGTCTACAATTTCTGAGAATTACTGTTGCTCTTTACCTCAGTGCCTCCTTGCAGCTCCACTTACACAGAAGGGTGTTTATAAATTGTGTGTTGCAAGTCCAAAGTTTTCTTCTTTGTATAATTCATGGGAGATGCTGTAGCTGGTCGTGTGTGTGTTTATGATGTGTCTTCCAGGCTGCAATTGTTCTGACTGAGAAAAATGTACCACGCGTAGCAGCTTATCACCCACCCTTCTTGATGGTGCACTGAAATCTACTGCATCAGTTACTGAATCTGTTCAGATCACTGATTTATGTTAGCAGAAATCTAGTAGTCAGAATTAATGATGATTTAAATTGGAAAACGTTTATCAGAGATTTAATGAGGTTCTGTGTCCCTAGCTGGGAAGGTGTCACAGTGGTAATATACACAATCATTGCAAAAGTGAGCCCTATTTTTTTTTTAAGTGGGCTGCCAAATTTGTCTTTGCATTGTATCATGAATTTAGAAATTATATTTCTAATATTTTACATTCCATTTTGCTCATATAACAAAGTTTGACTACTCCCATCCATCAGAACCAGCTGTTCCTATATGCTGCAGATGTTGTTGCATAAAATCATTTGCTCTTCTTAAGGATTAAGATTCATTCTTACTGAGTATTCGGTACACCTAGGCATGACTTGAGTTTCTGGCTTATTTTACTTTCTTTTGTCACAGTATTATGGGAGGTATTCATTATGGTTTTTTGTGTCTGTCTTTTCCTCCAGTAGTTTCCCCAAGAATGAAACACTGCCAGTATTTTGTTTCCATAGAGGGATCCAAGATAGATAATTCCCTTTCCCAACCCCTTGCCCCTCCCCTGCTCGTTCAGCGAACTGCTTTGTTGGTCCATTGCTTTCAGGCACACCAGAGAACGTATTGTCCAGCTGCAGTACTTAGGGTGAAGCAAAAGAACTTGAAGAATTTTTCAAGTCTTGCCTCGTTCATCTGAAACATTGACAATTTGGAGCTGAAGAAATGATGCTTGTCGAAATGTGTTCATAATCTACCTTTGCTCAGTGCGATGTACTCAACGTGCCTCAGGAGAGCAATGTTCCACAGTGTGTATTTCTCCTTTTGACTAAATATTTAGAAACTCAGCCCATCTCATAGAATCACAGAATGGTTTGGGTTGGAAGGGACCTTTAAGATCATGCAGCTCCACTCCCCTGCTGTAGGCAGGGACCCCTCCCCCTAGACCAGGCTGCTCACTGCCCCATCCAGCCTGG